TTTGGGTGTTTTGGGTGTATTACTAAAAAAGGAAATTTTTAGGAATTTTGAGATTTGCGGGAAAGAGTTTTTTTTATCTAATAATAACAAAAGTTTCTTATTTATTTTTCAATAATATAGATTTATATGTAAGATTAAATAACAATATCTTTAAAAAACTTCAATACAACTTTATTTATTGAACATTTCTGCTATACTTGAAAAATAGATATGTCAAATTCTCTATATAATTTGAAGGTCAATCTATAAAAAGCAACTATAGTATCTTTATATATAAATTATCAATTCTGTTTGCTATATATCAAGTTAACTTTAAAAAACAAGCATATTAAATTTCTATTACAACTTGAAAGCAAACTTATATATTTGACTACAATATTTTTATATAATTAAATATTACAAATCTCTTTAGTTTTTCACTAGATACTAGTTAAATTTTAATAAGCTTTTTATCTATTATTTGAATAATCAGAAAAAAAAACTAAAATATATAAATCAATTTTTATATCTTGCATTAAACTTTTTTAATAAAGAGAAATATATGTTAGTTATCAAATTTGTAATATTGTCAAATAGTAATCTCTTATAAATAAAGTTTCAACTAATAACTGTTTAGTTTAAAAAAAAAAATCCATATAATTGTAACTATTTATATTTCTTGTTTTTTGTTTAACAAAACTTTAATACTATTTTATAAAATTATATTTATAATAAAACTTAAATAACACTTAAAATAATATTAAAAAATATATTTAATATTTATAATTGCTTTTTTTAATATTAAGTATTATTTATAAAAATCTAGTTATAAAAATATAATTTTTTATATACAGAGAGACCTCTCTAAATACACCCTCTATAAATGCACTTATTATATTTTCTCTCTCTAAATTCATGGTCAAGCTTGGTCCCAAGTATATAGAACTCTTAATAAAATTACCTTCATAAATGCACACCCTCTATAAATACATATTTTTCAAAAATTTTTCTATGGTCCCAAGGGGTGTACATTTAGAGAGAGTTCACTGTACAATAATTTAATTTTATTAAAACAATAATTTTTTCAATATACTTCTTATACTGTATATTGAATAAATTTTTTTTGTCAATCAAAAATTCTACTCTATTAATACTTGCTTGATATTTTTTAATTTCTTTTTTAATTTTTTTATTAAATAGTCATTAGAAAATAATATTAATTGAATATATATCTCTTTATTTTTATTCTTATACCAATTATTATATATTTTGAATTATTTATTTTTTGAATTCAAACTTATTCTCAATGCAACTAATATATTTTTTATCATTATATTGTGATTCATTAATTAATTGAAATAAAAACATTAATATATTTAATATATAATATCTTAAATATTAACTCTTTCTGCTGATCCTTTTGCCAACACAAAAAAACAGACATTCCAAGGAAATTTTATATTTCCTTGTAATAAAGTCTATATACTTTCATTAACAACACTCATACCAAGAGACAATAATCTCTCCCACTTGTTTCTTTCTCTCTTTGATATAAACTTCCTATATTTCTGCAAGTAAATACAAGAAATATCTACCTACAAAGTTAAAGGCAAGAAAACATTACTAGGAAAAAGAATCCATAGAAAAAATATTATTCTCTCTTTTTCCAAAGATTCAAGACTCTAGAAAAGACTGGCACAGTTTTTGGAACTCTTTTTTCATCTTCCTCAAGCTTTCTCCTATTTTTTCAAGTGTGTAAATTTTTTTCTGGTTTTTCTGGGGAATTTTGCATACCTCAATTTGACCCATAATTTTTGGTTACACTGAAATCCTTGAATAGTGATTGGCTTGAATTTTGGACTGGTTGATCTATACATAGCAAGAAATGTAAATAAGACACATAACTTCCACATGCCCTATCTCATACAACATAAAATCCAATGATGCAATTGGATATAGTGAAAGGAGCAAGGTGGTGAGGTGTCTTTTTTGTCAAAAAGCATTATGGTGATCCCCTCTTTTCTCTTGGATTGGTTTCTTTTCTTTCCAAGATCAAAAGAAGTCTCATTCCAATTCAGTAAGAAACTTCTTTTGTTGTTGATTATCCTGAGAAAGCAGCAAGCATTAGTGTAAATCTTATCTCAAGCAATAATTCCCCCAAGGGATGTAAGACTGGTTTCAAGCAGTATGTCAGTCTTGTAATAAATACCTTGAACATTTTTGGTCAGCAAAAGAATAGTGGAAATTAAATAGTTTGCCCAGCTGCAGGTGGTGATAAAGGATTTATTCTGATGGACTGAAGTTGATATTGGAGGGTTTTTTATTTACCAGAACAAACTTTTCATCTACCCTTTTCATTCTTCCTTTTTTTTTCTTAAAAAATAAAAAAATTTTTTATCTCTTAGGACCACAAGTTCGTGCAAGGTGATAGTTTGAATATAGGCTGGCAATGATTTTTTTCAGGGCCAAGGAGCAGTCTTGGAAAAGGAACAACTTTATCATTTTCCACAATCATGCTTAGAGAATTAAGATTTGAAAAGTCTAAGATAGTTAATATCCCACAGTAATAGCTTAATGAACTAACTTTCTTATAGTAAAATAGTTAGTAAATAGCTAAATTATGTGGGTAACACGATGGTCTTGGTATTAAGGATTCAAGGATTACATACAAATCTAAAAATAACTTGTTGACGGGTGTTCTGCAATAGGCATAGTTTAGCTCTAATATAAAACCTTAGGGTTCCATGTATTATTGTTTTATTTATATTTAAAGATTAATAAACACAGCAATTGCAGTCTGATTAGAGGCAAAAAAAAAAAAATTAAATTAAATAATTAATAATAAAAATATTAAAGTAAATCAAAAAAATAACTGTTTTTTAAGTTGACAAGAAATTTATAAAAAAAAGATTATTATTAAAAATATAAATTCTTTAATAATTTAAAAATATAATATAATGCAATATTTTTTGTAACTTGATCAATTAAATAATTTATTCTTAAAATTTATTGATTAGTATAATTATTTAAAATTAAATATCAATAGTTATTTTATTTAAAAATAGTTTTAAAGATTTAATATATAATGTTAAAAAAAAATCAAATTAAGATTTTTATTTAATAATTATTTATTTTAAAATCTTTTTGTTTTTTTAAATCTTTATTATTTTGTAGTATTTAAAAAAACTTTTAAAAAAACAAAAATTTTTTTTATTAAAATTAAATACCTCAAATAAAACAATATATTTATTAACAAATTAAATTAATTTAATTTTAGTATACTTTTATTAAATTATCTATAAAGATAATCTGCAGGCCATGATTTTATCAAATAAAATAAATTTTAATTCTATTTGGTAGATGAGCAATCTATTATTTCCATAAATTATATCTAAAGACCTAGTGTTGTAGATAGGTAAGCTTGGTTGAGAAGATTTATATATGCAATTTTTTATTTTATTGGTTCAACTTGATTTAATAAATAAATAACTCCAGCCTGATTGAGAATTAAAATATATATTATAAATTAAAAAAAATAAATCTCATTTTCTTGACACCCTATATATACTGTACGTATATTATTTATAAAAAAATATATAAACATATTTTTATCCGATTTTTTTCTTCGATTAAAATGTATTCTGTGTATATTTATATAATATAAAATAAAATTTAACTAATATATCCAGTACAAAAGAAATAAAGAATCAAGTATTTATGTTATACAACGTGCAGAATACATTTACGAATATACAGTGACTTAATACAGTATAATGACAGGGAATTCGTGTAATTAACATCAAGTTTCTACGTTCAGGGTCTTCAATGCGTAACAAATTAAACATTTGCATGATTGAGCATTTTAAAAACTTTGATTTAATGAAGGCATTTTCTGACTGGTTTTACACGAAGCTGTAAAGTACAATAAACAAATAAATAAATTCAAACAAAAATTTTACAATATATACACGCTACAAGTCAACAATTAAAACCTTTTTCAAATCCTTCCAGGCCTTTTCTTCATTTCCTACATGAAGCAAAATCTTACTTCGTTCGCAATAAACCCTCCAACTTTGAATATCTTTATCTTCATTTTCCAACACCGCATCAAAGTCCACCAATGCCTTCTCGTATTTTCCCAGATCACAATAAATCGAACCTCTAAGGCCTAAAACCCTTTGCTTCAAGTTCAGATACTCCTCATTCTCTTCCAGATCATTGCAGCCCAAGTTTGGATATAATATTTTGTTGAGATAAGACAAAGCTTTTTCGTATTCCTTGATGGCTCGAAATACATATGCATTGAGAAGTGGTATGTGAATCGAACAATAGGAACATTCTTTGTGGATCGGAAATATGGACGAGAAATCGATCGAAAGACTCACTCGCGAATGCATAGACACCTTAGAAGCTGCGTCAAGGCTAAACATGGCATCCTCATATCTGTTCAGGTGATAGTAGGATTCGGCTTTTAGACATAATAATTTCTTTATAACATTTTGTTTATCGACGAGTGTTTCATCGCTACTTTCATGAATTATTTTTTTCTTTTCCAATAAATTGTTAAAATCATCCAAGGCCTCTTGGTACTTACAAATCTTCAAATTAAGATTTCCTCGATTGAACAATGCGTCGGCATTGTTTGGATCAAGTTCCAAAACTTTGTTGTAATCTAACAACGAACTGGAATACTCATTTGATCTGAGAAGGATTTTTGCTCGAACCAAGAATGTACTAACACTTGGTGACGAATTATCTTTAGAATGTATTGCGATGGAAACATTTAAGCATTTGAGTGCTTCTTGATATCTTCCAAGTCTGGCATAAACTAATCCCTTTGATTCATAAATCACTTTATTCTCGTATGAAAATTCCATTGCCTGATCCAAGTCTTTAAGGGACTCTTCGTACTCTTCAAGTTGTGCGCGAGCTTCAGCACGTTCTATTAAAACATCCGGATCAACCGGTTTCGATTTTAATGCTTTGTTAAAATTTTCTATGGCTTTCGAAGGGTCTCCAAGTAACATCTCGGTTTTTCCAAGATATCTATAGGCTGATGAAAAGTCATTCTTTGCTAAAGATTTTTTTAAAAAATATTTAGCATATTGAAAGTTATTGTTATAGTAATAAACTCTTCCCAATAATCTTTGTATATGATCACTTTGTGGATCTTTATCTAACGCTATGAATAAATGATACAGGGATCTTTCGAAATTCGATAGATTTCTGTAAATTTCTCCATACTCAATATGCACAGTGGCATCATCGAGTGCAGCATTTTTAAGGTCATTTAGTGCATCATCGTAGCGTTTCATTGAGCGATATACACGAGCTCGCTTGACAAGTAATTTCGCATCAAAAGCATTCTCGAGTTGAGCATTTAATACATCTAGCTGTTTGTTATGTCTATATAGAAAAGGGATCAGCGTATGCAGGAAAAACAACTGAATCATGTTCTCAAAAAAAACAGTATTGCATATAATGTAATAACTTCAATTTAACCCACGTACCTATTTGCAGATTCAGTGTAAGTTAATCTCAAAGATTTTGCTTTTTCATTGCCAGGATCCATCTCCAAGGATTTTACCAAGTCTGACAAAGCTCTGTCGACACAGTTAAACATTTTAAATATTTTTGCACGAATAGTATAGGTAGTTGATTTCTTGCGTAATTCCAATGCTCCATTAATGTCCAAAAGAGCTTTATTGTACTGTCTAAGTTCGTAATAGACTTTACCGCGTTTTCTAAGAAACGAAGAGTCAGCTTTATGACCTAGACTCGAGGCTGTCTCAAGATCGCTTAGTGCTAATGAGAAATCTTTTGTGAGAAAATTAATTTTTGCGCGTCTCACAAGGACCAATGAGTTATCCGGATTTTTCTCGTGAGCCGTGTTAAAATAAGCTGCAGCAAGCTCAAATTTTTTCATCTTCTGAGCAAAGATACCACTTAATATAAATAGCTCGCAAGTATCATCGTCCCTTACAATATTCATCAGGAATTCCAATCCTTCGCTGTATTCCTTTGCGTCTAAATAAATTTTGCCGCATTGAAATACGCTGTCTCTATCAGAGTAGTTAATCTTCATCAAATACTTTTCTAAATCGGTAATCGCATTTTTGGTTTTTCCGACATTTTTATTGAGAATCGCTCGAGATTTCAATGCATTGACAGCATGTGGATTATCAGGATCCTTTGTAAGAGCCTTGTTGAACGTTTCTCTTGCTACCTCCAGATTTCCTAGAGCAAAATGAATTTCACCGCAAAGATAATTTGCATCTGTTCTTGTGGGATCGGATTTTATGGCCTTATCCACTTCCTTTAACGCCAAATTATTTTTACCCATCTTCGAATACACCAATGCTCTATCGTATAAAACGTAATAATTGTTAGAGTAGAGTTCAATCAGCTGATCCAATAAAGTGAGCGCTTCGGAGTATCGCTGAGATTTGATTTCCTTGATGGATTGAATTCGAATTGGATGAAGAGACAAAGGTATTTTTGATGAAAACAAAGATCTAATTGATTTACGGTCCTTATTTGGAGATTTCGTTGATTGCGAATTATTATTTTCTTCCGTATTCATAGAATCTTTGATTTTTGTATCGGGGTCTTCTTCATCCTTTTTGGTAACATCATTACGAACCTATTTTTAGAGTGTAATCGTGAATTCATTAATTTCATTGATATTTCCGGTAATTGTTTGTGTTTCTAGCTGATTGTTTTTAACTACCTCCACGGATTCTCGGTTTTTCTTTTGTAGCCAAGGATTTATATATCTTGACATTGTTAAGAATTTCAGTAAACTAGCGTTACCAAGAAATTTTAACCTTTGAAATTCACGTGAACAATAGAAAATTTCAATGGTTCTATAAAAACGAATTTCCATTGTAACTCTTATGCATGGGCCTTATATTGAATATATCACAATGTACTCCATATAGCTAAATCCTACATCCTGCCCTTCTTTATTAGTAAGGTTGTCAATGAGGACGTTCGCCATATTCCCATCTAGTAAATTACACTGTTGATCTTGTTACTGTCTCTTAACTGCACACACGGAGATTCGGAGTGTATGCGTATTAATTCACGAAAATCACTTTGTGTAAACTAGGGAGGCCACATGCACTGGCCAATAAAAAATATACATGCAGTAATTTATTATATATGAGAAAAAATATGAAAATGTCAATTTAAAAAAAATTTTAATTGCAATCAGACTAAAATCATATGTTTATCAAATTATAGTGAACCATTACAAATATGAGAAATAAATATATACAGTATATAAGCCTGTTTGATCCAATTTTTCTGTCGATAATACAAGGCCTCTAGATACAATTATAGAAAATAAAATTGTTTGGTTATTAATAAATTAAATTTATTTGATTTTTTAGAACAATAGTTTACAAATTATTTATAAAGAAAAATAAAATAAAATAAATGAATAAATAAAAGTTATCTATTTTATTTATTATTAAAAAATTTTAAAATTCTATATAATTTCTAGTATTGCTAATTTAAATTATATCATTAACTGGAATAAACAAAAAACTCTCACCCGTTCACCACTGATTTCTTGAAAATTTCCTTATATGGTAATTTTCTTGAAAGAAGCGCTTTCC